TGTCTGAGGGATGGGAAGGCCGGGGGAGGGGAGGAGGGGATGTATCATGACCTGCGTCCTTCCTGAACACATCAGACCTTGTTAGCTGGGAGCTGTCAACATTGTGGGGACATGTAAAGTGGATCTCGAGAAGCACAAAAGTCCCCACGGGGTGTTGCTGTGCAGCGCCCAGTGCCTCAGAATAAGAACATGGCCCATGCCGGGAACAGCTGGTAAATAGAAAATTAAGCCCTAATCTCCGGTCTCTTTAGACCACGCCCCTTGCTGCGTCGGTGGTGGAGAAAGGGATCCGTTCCCCATGCGTTGTCTTCCCTCCCCCCGCACCTCTCGCTTGCCCATCCCAGATTTAGAACGTCCCCTGGCCAGAACCAGTTCAACGAGTTCTTTGCTTTTCTCCTCTCCAAACCCAGCTCGCACGCAGAGTGAAATCCCAAGCCGGGCCAGGGATCGCCTCGGGTGTCCGTGTGAACCGGCGCCAGTTGGCGCTTTACTCCAGGCCTGGGCGCATTAGTCAGTCCACGGAGATGCCAGCCACGTGGTCTCCTCGCTTTGCCTGAGCGATTCAAGCAGGTCCCAGATAGATTTTGTTAGGATCGTCCCGTCTGGCCGGCTCGCCAGCATCCTCACCCAGCGTATGTCTACACTACAAAGTTAGTTCGAACTAACGGACGTTAGTTCGAACTAACTTTCATAGACGCTACACTAGCGATCCGTTAGTTCGAACTTAATTCGAACTAGCGGAGCGCTTAGTTCGAACTAGGTAATCCTCATTCCACGAGGATTAAGCCTAGTTCGAACTTACTAGTTCGAATTAAGGGGTGTGTAGCCCCTTAATTCGAACTAGTGGGAGGCTAGCCCTCCCCGGGTTTCCCTGGTGGCCACTCTGGCCAACACCAGGGAATCTCTATGCCCCCCTCCCGGCCCCGGACCACTTAAAGGGGCACGTGCTGGCTACGGTGCCCGTGCCAGGTGCAAGCCTGCCAGCACCCAGCTAGCAGACCCTGCACCTGGCACAGCAGAGAGCCAAACACCCGATGTCCCCCAGCCCACCCCCTCTTCCCGGGACCAGGCTGGCGGCTCCCGGGAGCTTGCCCTGGACCGCAAGAGGCGGGCACCTTC